GACATCTCGTTTCTCTATCGACTAGCAAGTATTTAGCGATAGACGAGCCCGTAGACAAGGCGATGGTTAAACACAATAAGGTTGGAGCTGGCATAGTACTTAAGGGTAATCACGAATAATGTATACCCCACATTAACAATTAGGAGGATTGAGGATTCAGTAAAGTTACGATTATTCGGATAGCAAGCAGTTCATTCATACCCGACACTTTACCCCACAGATACTTTTTTCAGTGGTATTATTATTGCCAGTTCGTCTGATCGTTTTTTTTTTACTGGAATAGAAGAATATTGTAACTTGGATATATGGCCGCTTTCAAACGATTTCGTCCTTATCATTACTTATGAGGTACAAAATTGCTTAGTTCGACACTTCGTCACTAGTCACTTTCTGTGGTAAAAGTTGACCTTAATCTTATCAGGAGCATATTGTGTCCTGGCGTGATATCACAGGTATAAGGTGAGATCGCACCCATAACGACAAGCAGTCCTGTTGATGTTTGCCATATGGAGCATCAAAAATTGCAGGCCATATAGCCAATGTTGTCTGCTTCCATACCTCAGACATAAGATAAGCGCTCAAATTCAGCTGTATTCATGTGCAGCTATATTCACTATCTATACATGTATGCATGTGCTAATATTTTTTTCCACGTCATTTTAGATGGCGTATGTGTTCCCTTATTTACGTAGACCATCACCATTGTAAACAGTTATAAATTCCGTCCATAATTTAGGATATCTTGATAGAATGTCAGCACTTTTCTCTATCCATTACTTAAAGGTCGATGTTTAGCGACGTATACATACGCGACTGTAATAAACAACGCTAGTTAATTATGTAAGATAGTTATCAGGGCGGTACGTAAAAATCTGTCGATTTCATTAGTTTCTCTAACCATATATTGTCAAGCTTAGGGACCACGCCTGTAACTTATATACTTTTCAGCTGTTTGCATACGGCATCTTACGTTGTGACTGCGCTAACTTTTACATCAGCTACGTCAGCTGTATTGCTGACTATCAAACACTCATTGACGAAAGTACTCTACAGTATACGTAAGATAATTTATAATGTTATTATTTTTGAAGTGTCTGCACCGATCAGTGGGTAGCATACGACGCCCTTATGATAGATCTAATACGATATTTTAGCAAGTCCCTATAAAAATTCTCGTTATAAAATTTACTGCTTCTACGATAAGAGCAAAGATAAATTTGTTTATTTCGGTAGTCAAGTTCGTATTGACGAATTAGGACTCGTTCCCTTCATAAACAAACAACGTGTAAAATTCCGACAAATGTCCCATATCAGGTACGAGTCATGCAGCACAACCAAGTACTGAGAAGTCCTACTAAATCCTATCTTGAAGAATTCGTCTAAGAAAAAAGCATCTATAACTAATTACTCTGCTTATGATGAACGCTACCTATATCCACAAATATGTAATTTCTTCAACGGCACCTGCAGCTGAAGTTGCCGCAGTTTGTCGAGTCAGCCGTTGTATTTCATCACGAAACTGAATGATAAGGTGTAGCCGAAATGAGAGGAAGGTAGAAGACATTAGCCGTTATTCCGTATCTTCCGACTAAGCAACTGTCGGTCAGGTCTTTAACGGCAGGTTCGCTCACTGTCTATTCTGTGGATACACTTGGCCTATGGTCGCCGGCTGATATTTGCCCAGCAGTCCGACAGTGGGTCCAGTTTATGGGTTTACCATTGGCGCTTGTTTAGCGGTTCTCACTACTGCTGCTAGCTGTGCCTGTGGCCAGGGAGCTCAAACAGACCGGTGCTCATGGCCTTGACAACTGGCCACGGTGCAGCGCACTGGCACAAATTCGGCCGCGACCGCCGCCGTTTCACGCCCCCGGTCGTGTCTGTGGTGAGCACTGTCAATGGTAGCTAGAGTAGTAGCTTTGCCCCAGGTGGTCGCACTATTGCCGTATTGACGGTTGTCTGTCTGCGTGTCGGGTGGAGTCGTCAAACGGAGCCAGCAGTAAAACCGTTGGATCGTTAGCAGTAGCAATGGCGGCCAATCATACGAGTACGGTCAGGGCCGGACACGGTTTTCCGTCGGATTTATCGCTTTCCCCTCAAGCGGGCCAACATTTGGCGAAGATGTCACGATCAACTTTCTCGCGCTCTCTACTACGGTCACAGACAAGAAGTTGATGTTATTACTGACAAATATCAGAGTATCGGCTGTGCATGTCTAGGCTCCAGCGTTTCATTTATATTACGCATGTGTACGAATTTCACTTCGTGTTTTCGTGCCTGTGTGCATGCGTGTGTATGCGCTGGCTAAATGTTGCAATAACAACTTGCGCAATGATAACGGGGTTACGAGGGAAGAAAACGTTCTGCAATTATAGTCGGTCAGTATTTGGTAATGAGATAGTAAATTTGTGTTACAAAACGACTGGCGACCCTAAACAATACTAGAGCTGTTATCTAACTAATATGGTCAATTATTGTGTCTAATTCCGCTCCTTTAATCAACCAGGGGCCTGTTTGATCCGCCGTTTAAGCCGTACGTATTCGTATGTATCAAAACGTAAGCGAAACTAAACAAAAAAGCAGAAGAAGTATGGTGCGTAGAACCGCGTTACTTGCCCAAAAGGGCCAACCATAACTGAGAGGTCAGTCTATTGTCTAAGTGCGGCCAAGTAGATGCTACCAATAGCTATTTAGAAGCCAACACGTTCTAAGTATAGACATTTATACTTGTGTGGTGCTGTGATGGTGTTTAACAATATAGCCCTATATAAGTAATCATTTGGGCCAGTTTCGGGTAAACGATGTAGCCTAGTGAAAAAGCTATCGAAATATAGTTTAATTAGTGGCAAATCGTTGTCTTTCCATCTACTAGACACTTTTTATGTTGGTTTAGATAATCAAACTTTAGTTCCTTTTCAAATGGTTAGATAGTCGTCGACTGGTCTTGGTAACGTATCCCGTCATGTAAACAGGGTTCTCATGAAGCCTTCACCGTCGCCGCTATCCTTCCAATCGATTAATGTATTTTGTAAAGAACACACAAATTGATTACGAATTAGATTGCCGTTCGTTATCGGCCAGCCAATTGTTTAATGTCACCCTGATATTCAGTTCAGGAACCTCGATGGCTGGGCGACATTTTCCAGCTGTAGCTATTTTCTGAACTGGGGTTATAGTTAAATTTGCGCAAGCTTATGTCGCGCATCTCCGCGAACGCGTATCGTCAGAAATCCAGGCAGCGTATCAGACGCTTATTCCAGTCGTTCGTTCACCATTTCTCGCAGCACAAACAGACATCTCGCTGGGTCATAGTTCAGCCACTGTTGCTGTTGCTATTATTGAGATTTTGTCTTGCCATTCTCGGATCGCTGCTCCACACTCGATTTCGCCACTATTTGCGACACCCGATGCCGTATTGCCTCTGTGGTAATTGTCTAGATGTTGTTAGCTAATGTATCAACGGGTCGTCGCCGTTGCCCGAGTGATATTTGAACAGAGCGGCAGTTGGTCGAGTTTTATTTTGTTGACGTATTTCCTTTCTATTGAGAAATATAAAGCGGGACACGACGCACAGCGATCGGGATTGGGCCGCTAAGTACTCGATAGAGCGGACGACGAATCGATGTGGAACAGCTGTTGCTAATACATATTGCCTAAGAAACGTCGGTGCAGCGGCCATTTCTATTGTGTATTATTAAGAAATTAAGTGAGAAATTGTTTCCTCTGGGAACATATGGGCTACTGCTGTTAGAAGGGTGGGAAGACCAGTAGAAAAATTCATTAATGCATCTGCCATACTAAGGAAAGAGGTCACGGTCCCTTCCATCTATTATATAACAATATTGATCCTGGCAATGTAAATGAAACCGGCTAGAGCTGTGTGACTTGATGCCGGTCTCAATCATTCGAAACGCTATATCATATTGATGGTTTCTATAACGAACGTGATAAGAGGAGTCGAAACGTATTACCTGACACCAACTCTTGGCGACGACATAAAATTTTACAAACGGTATTCGATAGAGCTTTTTAAGAGAAACAGTACTCCTATATGCGTATTTGTGGAAAATTTGCCTATGTTTTCTTTATATCTCTTGCTACTAGTATGTATCAAATGTAGGCAGAGGACTGCGCATCACTACATGTACAATATTATCAAAGATGGCTTGACGAGAGGTTACGTGGGACATTCGTCCTAAGGAGTTAAAGCTCTCGATGAGGTAGGGAGTAATGTAAATGATGTCCTTTACTACTTACTATGATGTACATATGATCAAATAAGAGTTTAGTTGTATAGCCCCTTCTATTATATTGTCTCTTATATCGACCTGCACTATAATGAACCACTCCGAGCCATCCGTGGTTTATGATCTGCATTATGGTATTGATTAGCTACGATCAAGAGTGTAAATGGTGACACGCATCATTTGACCATGTCGCACGAATCGTTTTAGATGAAATATACTTTCATCAACGTTTTGGGTAATGTAGGTACGATAGCAAAATTAAGTTAGCTAATTAATTATACTTTCATAGATCACGTTCTTGCGTCAGCTGAGATGGCAGTCTTCCAGTCCCGTGTGCGATCTTTAATCATTATTTATTTGGCCACCTTTATCAATCAGAAGGATCAAACTAACATCTATCTCGCGTGTGCATTTCAGAGAAATCACCACAATGATAACCTGAGACTCCTCTACCGATCTCTGTCCCCCTTTGGTCGAACTTCGTTGAGCGGTCATTACTACTCCGTCAGGATACTCACAACAACTAATGGAGTCGGCTTCTAACGGAGCCGTTTTCGTCGATCTCGTGCCAAAAGTTATGCCATGCCCATTGTCGACAATACTAAGCACGACTCAGCAACATTCCTAGCGTAGGACTGTAGTAAACCGCCGGTGGGCGCGCAACAATACGAAAAATCCGCTAACTATACCATTGAGGTCGTGACTGCAGTGAAGGGGTTGGATTTCCCCTTGTAAGTTGAATTTTGTTGCTCATCATTCCGCATATTTTAGACGTCATACGGCAGGTCGCATACGGCCCACCAGCTTCTGGAAAAATGTGCGAGGAAAGAAAGGTAAACCGAGATCATCACTTTTATGTAGTTGAGTTATAGTCATGGCGGCGACGTTAATTAAAAGGAATATTAGAACAGTAGAGGAATATTTACATTATCAAGAAATTTGCAGGTGAAAGATCACATCAATTTGTATGTGCCCAACAAGAAGTAGAATCGAGAACCTTTTTGGTTCCAAGTCCCCAGTGCTACAGCCTACTGCAAACTTTAGAGTAGCAGCATGCTCAGCAGATAAGTTCGATGGAACCTAATAAGTTGAACGTACCGCAGTTCTTAATCACAGAGCGCTCAGAGAATTTAAGTTGCATTTACCACTCCAAAAAATAAGTTGGATGTTTCAAAAACCGCGTATAGATCCTATAAGACTTGAAGAAAATGTAATTATGATAATAAACATTATTACAAAGCACCCATGGGGAGTGTTCATTCGAAGACAAGCTCGTACCACTTAGACGTCCGCAAGCTGCTCTGACTAGTAGCACATTGGTGCAATGTTACATAGAGTATGACGAAGACCTAGTACTAAAAATTTGTTCCAGACCTTATCAAGATTTGTATTGGTATCTATTCAGAGGTAAGTGAGAACTAGGACACGAAACGCTATATTGTGACTTATATGCACGGATACATTTCAGGCCCCTGAGCAGCTGTGTAAAAAGCGTACAAATTCGAAAATTTTCAGTACGTCTTCAGTCGCGATCAGCTAGAGTTGCTTGGGCTATAAGAGAAATACCGGCCAAAGTCTTTCAAAACCTCTAGTCTTAGAATGAATTAAAAATGCTTGAAAAACAGGTTTCGAAATAGGCATTGACCGTGTCACCAGCCCAAGTAAGCGACCCTTGACTTTTCAGCCTATATATCATGCCATACAAGCTACTGCATCGATAAAACAATCGGCTCTAATGGAACAAATTTTGTTTATCATATGTCAACATGATTGGAAGTGGCAAAGTGAGGCTTTCAAGTGTATGCTAATCTCTGTCTGCCTAGTGAGAAATAAACGTCAACTAATAAACGCGTGTTTATGTCTGGATCGTAGAAAAAAATTGTTCCTGCTACTGTTTTGAATGTATCGCGCACACCTGTGGCCTGAAGTAAAAAGTGACCTGCGACAGCCCATCGCAATGCGTTTGTAGTGTATGCCATTCAAACGTATCATTCTTGTCGCATATAGATTGTCCAAGTGCTGATGCCAATATAAGATAGCCGTGCACGTTAGATCCTGTGGGTTTATACCTGCGCCGGCAACTAGCATGAACGTTGTAAGCATAAATGATACCACAGGACAACTTTTCATTCTGTCTTCTCTATTGCGGCCTAGTCGTGTCCTGACATTGAGCAATGGTATGATTCCATACTACAACATAAGTTCAGGGTTTGTTATGCTATACGTAGACCTGTCAACTACAAGCCGCTCTAGAATAGTGATGGCCGATAAGACTCGACACAACCAGCGGTATGCCATAATCACTGCGACGCGGGAAAATTGACAGGAGCTTCACTAGCAAACTTCGGTTCGACAAATTGCGAGAATTGGGAAGGCTTTCATTTGAAACTGCTGGTCAGTATGTCACGTTATTGGATGTAATAGTAGCTAAATATGGGTATTGTGGGCGACAAGTGGTGGGCAAAAGACTGAACCTGGATATATGCTTGTTTGAAACATAATCGCGTGCGTATCTGTCTAGTATTGCCAGTTGAAAATCTTCGAAGAAAGAAGGCCGTAGAGTGAAACATATCTTCTTATATATATATATATATATATATATATATATATAATTTTTATCCGAGTGACTCCGAGGTTTGTGTTTTCAAAAAGCTGTTTGCTTATATAGATTACAACTAAAATGAATGATATTGTGTAACTTCGATCTTATAGGAGTTGTGCGTTTGCGTGCAATTTCTGTGTGTACACAGAAATCGAGGTCTCAAAAATCGTGACAAGTCTTTAACGCCCAAAGTCTAGCAAGCACATCTTTCGACTATGTTATACGTACATCCAGACGATAATATGAACAAACATCTTCTTCTTGTTACGAAGGCCTAATAGGTGCTACCAATACACAGATACATACCAGCGGACTCCAGACCTCAAATACTGCTCTCGCCGAAGCGCTTCTCAATTCCCCTTTGTTTCGATATTTGGATGACTTGGCATGAACACGCATCCCGAGGTACTTCTGAAACGTTTTTGGCGCATACGTATAATGCGCCACCGTGGCAACCGATCGATGCCGTTAGAGCTTACCCTTCCCCAGTAGAGGCTCCTCACTTCTGAGCCATGCATAGGGAAAGGTTCGCGGGGAGTGCCCTGAGCTAGTGAATTTAACTCAGCAGGTAGTCGGGTCTTGTTACTGTTTGTTTATCGTTCATTATTTTTGAGTGTCTCGACGACTTCAGTGCGAACAAATGACACCTGTTAATTTGTCCTTCAACGGATACAGCTAAAGGGATTTGTTGCAGCAAAAGACTATGATAGTAACCAACGTGTTACTTTCATAGCCTTGGATCAGTCGATGACAGATTTTTGACCAGTGCTCCCTTATACAATGCTTTGGATCTGTGTATCGTCCGGGGTAAGTTTACCATACCTTGAAATTTGAAAGTACTTTGATATACTGCATAAATTATTTCCAAGTTTATATTGACGTTTCGGTGGTCAGCCGCAAACATTTCAATCGATGGAGTTCACGTTATCACATGAATCCGTAAAATATCGCTAATGAACGATACGATCGCATGCGTAGCTCATGTTTGTCAACTTTGAGCGCAGGTATGTCTATGAATACAGAAAATAAATGGCGTAAGCTGCTTTCTCGATATAAAGAGCTGTATGGTAAATGTCTATATGCGCATTTGATAGTGTATAAGTGCACCTTTAGCGCTACAGTTTGTCAACCAAAAAATGGGTTAGGTAGTGCAAGTGTTGCAAACCATCAAGAGTCAATGATGATCCGTAGCCCGCTGTCGTCGGTAAAGCAATAGAAACCTCGAACAATAAAAGGATGGAAACAGCATCTGGACATACACAGGCAAATCTAAAATCAGCGAAAACTATTGAAAGCGAAGACAGAAATGCTCTGCCCAACTGATTACCAGCAACGGTGTGGTGTCCAGCCCAGCTGTTGATATTGCCGTGACACAACCTCGCGTATTCGTGATCATCACGCACTAATCGCTGTTATGGACTTTACTATAACTGTTGCTGTTGCACTTCCTGATAAGTTTGTAAATGACTTTGCGTCTTATCAGTCTGGAAACGGACGGAAAATCCGTTTGCTTATTACTGTCGTTATCGTCGACGGATAACTTGTATAGCGCCCACCAACGGTACCGTTAGCTGCAAAACTGTCGCGCACAGAGAACTGTCGACTATAACCGATAGCCGTCCTATTTTATCACCGCTGTTGTCAGTGGCTGCCGCCACTGCGCAAAGTCGCTGTTGCTTCCATTGCTTGGCGTAATTATTATATTTTTCTAGTTGTTGTTGTTGTTGATACGTTATAGGGGGTCGCAGCATAATCGGCAGAGATGTTTTATTGTCCATCACCATGTCGTGCTGGATCTTATCATTAGAGCTCTTCCAGAATGGGGGCTAAGACCTAAAGCTAGCCGAAGACCTTCGCAGTTACTGGGACAAACGGCAATCCCTCCGGCAGTCGAAGGCCAACAGCCCCCAGTGTTACGATTGAAACGCCTGTGGCAGGTCTGGACAGGCCTTCAGTACAGCAAATCGCTACTTTTCGCAAGGTTGCTGATGCCTGAGAACATCACCAGACACTAACTGACCTTACATATCATTTAATTCTCCCCGTTTTACTTTGCCCTCCATATAACAACCCACCGCCGACTCACTCATCTCAGATCTCCGTCAGTCGCTGGTCGACTATAGACTCTGTGTTTTGCCAAACGTGTTACGTCCTACGTTCGATACTTACCAACGAGGCTAGTTGGCACCATTCCAACTGGAAGTACCAACCTAATCGACGCTGACCGTTTTTTTGTTGCTCTATCGCTAGACTGAAGCAGCAAAGGTCAATGTGTACGACATGTTTATTAACGAGTGATATTTTTTCGAAAGAATTTACTTACCCTGCGCCTGTGATTAAGATGTAGACTGGATTATCTAATCTGGAGTAATGGTGATAATTAGGGTTACCATAACCAGAAAATGTTTATTTTCTAGTCTTAGCTAATGATAAACAACTCGACGTAAAATTATCGTATTGTGTATGTAAAAGTAACTGGTTTTGTAAATAAAATCCACATCAAGGTTGTGGTGCATGTCTAACACTACTGGATAGTAATTATATGCAGGATACCAAAATGATTAAAATTAATTCTATAGCCGACCCTAACTAGTTTTTTTAAAAGTGCGAACAATATTCTTTCTCTACAGTGAGTTTTTATGTAGGGAAAATGTTTAGTTTTACGGATTCAATTACTGATAAAGATAAAAAAAAAATCATGCTCGATAAAACTTCACTACTATATATATAACGGTACAAAAAATATTCAGTATGCTTTGGTGTCAGCTAGTCTCAACACGATATCACCCACACATGTATATATCCACGTATGTTAGTTGGTGGCCTATTCATATTAAAGCCGCGCATTTTCGATAATGTACTCATTTTCATAACCTCGTGATAACTTCATCGCACCTTAATTCGAGGATAATCGCTTGCTGTACGCTTCTTCAAATAGGCTTCGTTAAGTTAGTTCTGTCCTACTCAGACCCATCAACTTCCCTCGACGCAAGCTAGTTAGCTATTGTTAAAAAAGTTCTCTGCTATTTTTGGTAGGCAATCAATACAGTGGGACTCTACCCGGTGCGTAGGCCCTGTGTGTTGCAGTGCGACCTTCTTCTCGCAAAAAGGGTAGAGGGGGCTTTAGATTAGGTACTGCCTGTTAAATTATTGGATTAAAATATCTCGAATGCTTTACTAATGAACCTGCGAGTATGGCAAGCCCTATTGGTAAGAGAAACTTATGTTCGTACCTATAGATTGACAATTTAAGCGAGTCAATCGTTAATTCTGTTTATCTAATTTCGTAGTAAAAATGCCACCTTCTAATAGATTCGTTGACGCGCTACTCACTGTCGGCCCAAGTTACTAACAGGTCTCCTGGTGATCTGGCAATCTAAAGGCATAATATTTCAACCAGCTCACAGTGATTGATTCCACATCAAACGAGACAAGAGATGGGCCTCTAAACTGCAACAAGTTCGTAGATTGTGCCGTAGATCATTATATAATATTATCGCTTATTATAGCATTAAGCATTATTACTATAGCATTATTATACGCTCTAAGGAACTGTTGACTGAAGGGTGTCCTGAGCAGGTGTAGACTTGCCTTATGAGCCGGAGCGTCGTTATCTTAGAGGAAAATATTCGTACAAAGCAATCAGTAGTAGCAGTCTGCAGGTTGCACACGTCACAAGACGGCCCTCAGTATAAATTGAAGATTAATTCTTACGAGCATTTTTCCCAATTTTAATTGGTACGTAATAAATCGATATCTGATTCAGGGCCAAGTCACTGGTGAATTTTCAACAAAGTAGAAAGTTTTAGGTGATCGGATCATAGAGTCAGAGGCTCGACCTCTAGGCTTAGTATAGTCAGGCCTGTTCGATTGCTCAATAGACGTCTGAACCAGGCTCTGGCCGCATTGCAAGCGAAACAGGTTATCAACAATCGTATGAGAATACGGCTAAGAACGTTCGGTAACGTACTTTGTATCGATGAGCAATATAACTGGATTTCGATCGCTCATTTAGTTGAATTGCACTTAATCGGAGGAAAAATGGCATTGAAGAGCAGGGTAAAGCATAAATATTACACACTTGCGGAATTGGGTAAATGTTGAGGCCGGGAACTTGGAACGTGCAAGCCCATGCAAATGGATACGGTGTTGTACTTAGAAATTCGTTAATATAATTTATCATTATTATTAACACTGTTTGTATTCTTCGTGATATCGTGTTCTTCCAAGCATCTGCTGCACGAGACAAACGTGTACGGGACCAAATACATACAGTCCTTAATTATGCATACGCCATTGGAGCTTCATCTCTAGAGAGTGTGCATTTGCATATCAATGCGTATAGTCAATATAATTTGGTGCTTGTCCGTTCTTCATGATCCAGTCTCACCTCAGCTTCATCGTCTCAACTTCATCGTTCAATTCTTGTCAAAAATAGTTACAGACTTATTAAAGTTTATATTTCGAGTGTGATAGCACCAGCTGTTTAGTTTTTATTTGTCGGCTCAATATCAATAATGAACTGGATTCCCGTCATGTATTTTATCGTTGTTTACATAATGTCAGCCCCCAGTTGGCTTCATCACTACTGATATTTTTTAATAATATTCTAATATGTCGGAATGAATAGATTCGAGTTTTTTGCTAGTATGAACAACATGGCATTTTGCTGGTGCTTATTATCAATCTGATAGCTAGCAGTAGTCCATTGCTCACGGGCAATAGAATGAAAATAGGATACTATTACGGATTTAGCCGAACATGTCGTACGTATATGGCTTTTGTAGAGCTTGCCATTGATCCTAAACGAAGTCTCCTTAATATGCCAAAAAATGGGAAAGGGCGCAAAAAGTGGTCCGAAAGCAGAAACGCAGGATGATTGCATCTCCATGCATGTCTTCTATAAATATCACTTCGTCGAAATTTAACAGTGGCCATAAAATGCAAAATATTGCTCTCATTGCACTCTTCAGTGTCCCTTCCAGGTTATTGACTCAACTACCTGAAAGTTAACGGCTAACCTGAAATTTTCAAGTTCGTTTACGGGCAGTGTTGCTTTTCACTACGTTTCTGTTCGTATCGTATAATATTTTAAACTGACAATCCAACATTATTCAGGTGATCCGAGTGAACTAGGCATTAATTTGCTCAAACTTCCACGGCTGAAGGTTCACGCGAGCTATTCATACAAGTTAAACAACAATCATCGTCATCATTTCGCTTCCATAAGCTCCTAGATATTAGCAAATAAATTTGACCTCTTCCATCCCGTATGACTGTTACCCCTGCAAAGATATCGTAGCTATATTTCCCGATGCAATCTTTATACGCGAGGCGTGAACTATCGAAACGAATAGGGCAAAATCTATACAGTAGGGCATTTGTCGCATTGCCTTTTGTGTGTAAATAAAACGATGAAATGATCCTCTATCGGTAAAATCCATCCCGTTCCGTTTTCGTTTTTACGGCCTTTTACGTTCGCCGTCACTGGGACGCCCTGTCCGTTCAACGCGGCGTCCCGACGAAGGGGAAAATGTTCCATTGGAGTCGGGCCTGTGGTTTGCATTTATGGATATTGCGTATTGCGCATGGGATAACAAATATCGGGCGCATCTTTCACGGTTTAGACCGAATCCTCGGGCAATATTATATTGAAATTATTGGCGTTGCTACAACTGCTTCGAACGAATGAATGGCTAGTGGATGTAGACTATGCGAGACTATTGTACCGTTGTTGTTGCTTTGCGGGTGTTTCATTTAGATGCGGCGAACATCTGTACTACGACCTGTCACACCTGTACACCATGTGGACAAAGACAAGTTTATGTTTCAATAGAGAGACCAGCAGTAATTAGTAATAATTGGCAGTAATAAGTAGAATTTTTATTGTTTTATTTTAAAATAATTAGGTATCGTTATCTGATAGAAAAATAAATACAATTATCATTATCGCTGTAATACTTAATATGATCTTATTGAGTAAATCACGCCTGAGTGACTTGTTGGGGCATCGGGCGGTGGACAAGTGTGCGAACTATGCTCTTCCCATCTTGGCCATATAGGTAGACTCATATTTAATGAGCGTTGCTAATATTAGTAGATGCATTGTCTCTGTCTATCGAACGTATACGGCATTCGCGAATTTTTCGTCCCGCCGATTATCATGAGAGCGGTCCGCTTCTACCCGTTAGCAGAAGTAACACCGGTGGCCGTACTATCGGCGGACCGTCTGCTTGGCTACCCCAGCTCCTCCAGAGTCGCTCCGGCGTTTTTCAACTAACCGACCAACTAATGGACGTTGTCGATTGGCAACGTTGGCTAGAGCGACACTAACACCGTTAGTGTCGCGGCTGCTTCGTGCATAGCTGGCATCTCTTCTTGGCGTGGGTGTTTACCGCTGCCACGGCTGGATTTCACAGCGACAGCATCAACGACCAGAAAATGAAATGGAAGTGGCAAAATATAAGACAGCGTCTATTTGGAGACTGTACGACCCACTATTGGCCGGCTGTGTCTTTGATCGCATTATAGGACCCGTGCACGACTGGATGCACGGGCTATACAGAATGCTATAACGGACTAAGGCCGATTGTACTGACCCAGTCAGTAAATGGAAGATGTATATAATCGAGCGCCCTAGTCACTATCCGGAGTACATTCAGGGTTCATGCGTATGGCGGGAGCATAGCCCCTGACTAAACCCATTAACCTTATCGAAGTTTGGTAGCGTGCGCCGACGCGCCTATGCATGAAGTAATCACGCTGGTAGTCTAGCCTAGAAAGCCTCTCGTTTGTCAATGGCAGCAGCTTGCCATTCTCAAAGTCGATTTCATGGATATAGTCACGAAGGCATGCCAATTCACTATAACCATGATGTGTTAATTGCCGATTTGTTCTATAGGCTATAGGCATTCTCAGCGATTTAATACATGCGCTGCGATGCAATCCGAGAGAACGGTTGTTGCTGGCTCAGTTGGGGTCTATATAAGGGCAGACTCAGGTGCTATCGATCGATACGTACTTGTGTAAAGATACGTCCGATAGTAATTTACAAATCAGAGATCGTCTTCTAATCTGACCTCCTACGAATATCTGTTACAAAATTGGTACACTGATCTTCTTGGATCAGGTGAGTTATAACATTGGAAGTTCATTGCCAAGAGGTAGAATGTATAGTTGTTTTATGTTGAATTACAGAAACAGATTTGACATTACGAGAATTGATAACACAAATAGCCTTCGTCTTCAAATGCGGATCATATTTGTACGGCGCATTCGTTACGTTCAATTTTATAATTTGGTAAATCGATTAAGATTGTGTCAAGGATCCAAATAGACAGTGTTTATTTATTATTATTATATATATATATATACATATATATATATATATATATATATAGCTAAACTTCTAATTATAAAAAGAGCTCTCAAAAGCTGGGACTGCGTGAAAAAAATGTGTTAATTTTTTTCGTTTTTAGAGTTGAAACGCTCGTGTTCTGTTGAGTTAGGGGATGCTTTTCGAATGTGGATTGTGCAAAAATACCACGTATTACAAAGCCGCAAAGCTTCTAATAGCATGCATTAATAAGAGGTCAGCGGCACGTGGGCAGGTCTCAAGCAGGTAACTTGGCCCAACTTTAATGTACAATACGTCGCTTTTGTTTATTTCGCCTCCAGTGTTCAGGCACGATGGACAAAGCCGACCCAACGCGCACGTTACACGCGTCGGTAGGCTCCGTTTCTTTTCCTTCACCAGATGAATGCTGCCCAAGGCCGCCCCCTGCGCCTGCAAAAGCTGCTCAGAGCCATCCAAACAGTTTTGTTTCACCCACAGTAAAGCCCAGAATAAAGGCAGTGTTTAACTTCATACGGGATCTTAAGCTTGAAGCGTTTCTTCTGGTGTACGTGATGGCCTTCTCGATGAGGCTCATTACTACGCAGGACATATTGCTCATAAAGGTAAGATATTGATACTGGCAGGCTAGAAAACTAGAGGAATTAAATTTCGTAAATATGTTGTAAATCTTTGCAAACCTCATCTTATAACTATGTTGATTAATGTTGAAGTTTCCGCACGATTTGTCCTTTTCTTTTTTTGTTGTAGGCATGCCTTCAGCAGCAGAATATCTCCGATGCTGAGTGTGCGAAGCCGTCTGAAGATTTAAAATCCCGGATTGAACGTGAGGCAAACACGGTCAACCTATATACTATACTCGTTCAACTTGTGCCTTCAGCCATTCTGTCTATCTTCGTCGGAACCTGGAGCGACAAATATGGTTTGTGTCTATCATGCTGCGTCAGTGGTTAGACCTATAGATGAGATGATCAGGAATCACAGTCAATTCACATATTGATCTGAATATACCGTCACGCTTTATATGCTAGTATCTCAAACTCATATAGAAAACAGACCTAAAGATCACCGAGATATTGAGACATCTCGGCGGACCAGAAAACATACATCATTTGTAACGAAGAGACTAAAGATTGTCACCATCAGCGTTAATTTAAATATCCTGGCTGAATATAACGCCTACAAGGCCTTCACGACGAGGTCAAGCGCAGTTAGTACTAACGCAGAGCTTCAGATATTCATATATACGTAGTGTAGTTCTTTCGAATCACACGAAGTGTTTCATTAACGCTGGGATTCTGCTCCCTTATTAAACACTCACTTTTGATTCGTTGGAATACGGATATACGGCAAAACATCACGACATTAAATTATCTATGTAGCTCATTTACGTACTGTAAAATGTGTCCCGTGCCATGTGAGTGCCTGATATGAGCGGCGTTATATATATATATGCATGTAACTTTACTACGAGATAGGTGTGTTTGCCTGCGAGGATCAAATGATGTTATCACCAAAGTGATTTGTTGTGAATTGGCTTTGTTACGGTATAGTGGACCACTAACGGGGTTGGTTACCTTAGCTGCAAGAAAATGCCAGTATGAGTTGTTACTGCAGCACTGAATTAATCCTCTTCGAGCTTTCGCCAGCTTGCCATTGTATTTCCATCAGCGCATTGGAGATTTCGCCAAATATTCTCCAGTCAAACAATTTAAAAGACACAGACAAGTAATGGCACTCGTAGATGACTGGCAGGCTGACCAGTCACACTGAAAGAATAAAGGATGAACCTGTTATTCATTGTGTCAATAACACCCAATAACTTTTCAGAAATATCATCCCTAGCACAGCCAGCTTCTCTCTGTCTGTGTGAATAGCTAGCTATTCTGTGTAATGGATTCGTTTGTTTGTTCGGTGAGCTCTATCGTTTGAACTTATTTTATTCATTCGGCCGGTCGACGCCAACGCCAGACCGACCGGTCCGCAGGCCCAATGAGTAGTGATTGTTACTAGTGGGTTGTTCTTGTTTTCAGTGCTGAGGATGATGTCGGCTCCAGATATATGCATATACTTGCATAGACATACATAATCAAGGGCTATACAAAAACTATCACGAGACATTGACGATTCGCCAGACGTAATTCCTTTCGTTACGAGCGCGGTTGTTCCGGTATCACCATCACCGTCGCCTTCAGAAGACATAGCAGGGTTGATTTTCTTTGGCTGTACGATAGAGGTTGGACAACCGCTTCTAGGAAACGAACGACTGTCTCATCGTAGCGGGATCATAAGGCAGAGCTAAATAGGACACACGAATACACCAACAGGGCCATGGAGCACATTAATTTACGCAACAGTTTTTTGATGCTAGCATCAGCGTGATAACACCGAACGATTTCGACTCATAGAACGCTTATGGGAGACCAAAGTAAAGAGTGACAAACTATACCTACTTGCTATGGAGGCATCGAAAGACAAACGTGGAGAAAGGCGATGAACTCTGCCAGATTTGAGGTGGGCCATAGTTGTCTACTGTCTATAACGGTACTACAATGCACTTTCAGCACCGATCGGAGATTTCTCCTGTATATGTATGTGGATTTATGCATGTTTGTAGACGTTATAGAGATGTACACATAAATGTACTTTTGGTCGTACACGGTGGTTCATAATCTAATTCATGGAACAGGACGAAAATTGGCGCTAGCTGACTATATCTACAGATGTCTCTGATCTCAAAAACTAGCGACAATGTTGTGTTTTGCGTTCACGCTCATTAGTGGTACGCGTACGGCGACGCCTATTGTGTGGCCGTGGCTGTCATTTAATTCGACTGATATGACGCTAGGGACAGCTTGTGAGGGTCAAGAAGTTTCTTCTCATTTGTATTGCATATAACTTTCAACTGTTGTACGGAGAACACAAAACCCTTTACATGTGGTATCCTAACAAAGGTACAGGTGCATCGAGAAGAAGGGGCTTCGCAGCATTGGAAAGATTATTTCATTTATTGTCACTATCGTATGGGGAAAAGTCAAGACGGGCGGCTGTCAATGTTAACTAAATATCAATGATCATGATGGCGTACTGAATTCTAAAATAGTACAGTATGGTAAAAATATTCGTTGCAGATTTTAAAAATAACATTTGACTCTAATGATTGGCAACGATGGTTTCATAGCATTTTTGCAGTGGGGCATACGTCCTGAAGTACGCAGGGCTTTACGAATTTTTTTTTTTTGCTAAACTTTTCTGTGGATTATTGATGTAGATATGACTGTTTTGTATTGTGCAGACTAAAAAAAAAACTCATCTGTTTATATATAAGCTAGTGTCTAAGAGCAGTTAATTCTTGCAAAAGTTTTTGCTAATACACTAAGCTTACGCCACAAAAGTCCACGTTCAAAATCAGGTACACATGCATGGCGTCTGCCGACTCTTTTTGATTAAAACCCCGCAAAAATGCAAGAAACGAGCACGACGACGTTAGCTTCCGCCCGAAGATTGTCGCGAGCAAAAAAATATAAGAAAATAACACGTTATTGTATAGCAGTTCTAAAATAAAAAGTTAATTTCCGGATTGAGCCGATCTACATTTAAAATAGGTATTGCTTGTTCGGCGGGGCTTTCTTCAGGCAACAAAATCCCAATTCTTGTGGCCGTCGTCGGAGGAATGGTATGCGATGTCTGTAATATTCTCGTTGCGATGTCTCTGTCGAGCTCCTTGTATTGGTCAGTTTTAGCAGCTTTGTCTAACGGCCTTTCGGGTGGCCTTGTGTGCGTTTGGGCCGCCGTATATTCGCACGCGACGATTTCCACGACTCCGGAATTAAGGACTCTGAAGTTTCTAATGATTGGCCTTGCTATACAGCTTGGGTTCCCCTTCGGACAGTTTGTCTCCGGTCAGGTTGGTATATATCCTTTTTTTTTCAACTTTTAAGTACGATTTCTGAGGGAAGCTTCGTAGTGTATTCGTTTTCTATACGAATAATGAAGGTTTTCACTTGCTTTTTTCCCACTAAAGGTATTTAAATCCTGGGGCTACGTTCCTGTATATATGTGCTCCTGGACTCTAATGTTCGCATGTTTCATCTGGATGGTGGTAGTAGTTCGGGGTCAAAGAAATCCAGACGTCAGTTGGACCCAGATGGCTGGTGATTTTTTTAAACTCGACAACTTTATGGAGGGTGTGAGGACTACAATGAGACAACGACCGCATTCGGGAAGACGGCAGATCCTCTTTATGCTGATTACAATGTGCATCATTGTCCTTAATGCTGAAAGTAAGTGCTTGTACATAAATCAAATAACTCATTTAGCACTCTCCAGCAAGGCAAACTACAGTAATCCTTTTTCCTCATATTCACAACTCTAGCGCAGGACCAAAGGTCAAATGAAGATAGAATATATTATTTAAGATATTGCGTTAACGTAACATGTATCTAAAAGTGAGGCCCGATATTCGTGAACAAAATTTACCCATGAAAATGTATATATGTATATATATCTATATACAATATGTATATATACACATTGTATATGTATGCACACATATTTTCACATTGATTCATACACTTGATGGAGTAGTAGCACTATGGATCCATCAGCCCACCAAGTGTAACTCATTATGGGATTATTTCTTGACAGCTACCCGCTCGGTGACGTACTATTTCGTGAAGAAACAATTTGACTGGTCTCTGACCAAATATTCAAATGTGACATCCTTGTTTGCTCTGACCAACCTTATCTCGCTTGGACCCATCGTTCTAATTCTCACCAAGGGACTTCGAGTACATGACCTTACTCTGTCAATCATAGGAGTCTCTTCCATGATGCTGCAGAACTTTACGAGGGGTCTAGCCTTCAGAGAATGGATGTATTATACAAGTAAGTACGATCTATGAAGCTTGTCGTTAGACCATTTTGAAAATTATGTATAAAATAGGACAACATACGCGGTATGTTAGATAAGCCTGGTGAATGTGACAAGCAATTTCTATCATTACAAATTTCCGATATTTGTGTATACAAATAGCTTGCTTGAAATTCCTGTCCAAAACTGATTCAACATCAGTTCGGCCTTTTTATCAGCAGCTATCGTAAGAGGGGTATGACCTAGTAGGTGTCACTTATTTTTGAAATTGTTGTTAACCTTCGATGGCTAAGTAAGGCATACGTATTCGTACTGCTCGTTATCATGTTCTACTGAGCATCATTGATCGATATAGCCGACCTCGGTAAAAAAAAAAAAGCTCGTTTAATAAATTTCCCAGAATGTAAGTTCCTCTTGATTTGCAGCTAATGGGAAGCAAATATCAAGCTACACTGGTGCTTTTTCTGCTTTTTTTTTTACATTATGTAAGCATCATAGACAACTTGTATAAACATTGCTATATATGCGCCATGGTGACGCCAAACGACCATAGTAAAAGCTAAACCGATGCCTTACGAGCAAAAAACGGATAGTTGCTTTAATACATTGGTATAATAATCATAGTATTTATATGTATAATAGCTATTATATAGGTACAAATACAAATCACTTATGTATAGCATACAATTGTTGTTTTGTTGCAGTATGTAATGAAATTAATTAAATATTGCTAGCAGACATGAAAAGAAAAAAGCCGGTTCAACACGCATTGATCGTCCGTGCTATATTGCAAAGGGAACGATTATCCTTTTAGGCGCATACAAATCAAAACAATTTTAGCGTGGTCAAGAAGAACATTCTCCTTGCTTCTTTGACCAGAAAACAACCAAAGATTATTGTATAGACATCATGATTTCTTTCTAGGTGGAATCCTGGGTGTTGCCGGCGGAGTATCAACTATTGGCATTACGTCGTACGTTTCGCGGGTAATATCTCAAAAAGAGATTGGTAAGGATTAGCATTAATAAATTTCTTCTATAGGCCACGTGTAGAGATTCAAAGTATGCTCAATACTCTAGGCTAATCAAGTATCTAAAAATGAAGACAACGAACAAGTGGCTCATCACATGTAGTTATTAAGCCTATAATTACCGCGTTTTAAAAAACAAGGTCGTATTAAAATCAAGTCAGACATATATATATATATATATATATAGTAGTAGATTTACTGAAGATCGTATGTTTTCAGCTCGAATGTTCAGCTTCTGGGCCGCTTGTGAAGCAATGGTACCTGTTCTGGGAGATGTCATGTCGTCACAGGCAAGTGTGACATGAACGCTTGGGTTCAACGTGCGTTAAGCCATTAAATCCAATAAACATACGTGTCGCATTTGTACTGTACAAACGACCACCTACCCTTTTCATTTTGTTTTTCGCCCACATCGAAATTTGTATGAATTCATCGAGTTGTTATATTTAAAAACGTTTTTGTTATTACATCGTTTTAATAACAGCTGCTTGCACTGTTCAAATATAATAATATATTTCAGGTATTCAACGCCACAATCGACGTTTTTCCTGGTGCCCCATTTGTTATATCATCAGTTCTCCTCGTGTTGGCTTTAGGATCGCTTATGTAAGCACAATTAAATGTTTTTCCATGTTAGCGTTTAAAGTTTTTTTGCAGTGAAGCACAGAGCAATATCTTTGGATATAGAACTTTTTTTTTAAAAATTCACTTTTTTGAGCTTTCTTAGCTTGAGATTTCGTATTCGGTTCTAAATGTTACGCAGTTACTGTTATGGGAGATCTCAATCCGACCTGTTTGAGCCGTTCGAGAATGACGGTATCTCTCAAGCACCTAACCACAACGACGATGAGCATTACCAAGGTTCCGAGATGGTACATCGTTCGGGTTCGAGTCCAGTTTAAAATTGCTTAGCCCTATAGCGCTTTGGAGTGAAACGAACCAACAAAAGGCGTGCAAACCATGTGTCTGAGGAGGCTGTTACTATGCTATGTTATCAGCGGCGGTGGGGTCCAACCCCATTTTGATTCTGCCCGGCACTTGACGACCATCACACGCCGATATGGGTAAATGAGTGCCGGAAACGTTACAGCGAACGCGGATTATGCGATGGCGGCATGAACGTATCGCTATATTTAACATGTTACGTATTGTACAAAGATTTCCTCATACACATATACATTAATGGGTGCTTGTGTAAAGCCTACACAGTGTTATAAATAAGCCAGAAATAGAATTAAAACGGTGCATTTGGGAAGTTAAAGTTTAGCTTGCTCAGGAAATGCTGTGATATCTCGTGCGCGGTATAAATTGTACAATGCAAACGTCCTTAATAATGTCACATTAATGCCTTGTTGTAGATATGAACGGGTAAGGGCGGGGGAAGAAAAGCGGGGGCATAACCAAACCTCTGAATTATAGCTGCGAGAGAAAAACGGCCATATCATTTCGAAATGAGAAGTTGTTACTTGCAAAGTATGTTACAGTTTTTGTCGATTATCAAAGTAGATCAACATAAAGTCCAACCTACATATATAGCGGAAATCAAGTTGAATAGTGTTTGTCATTGAGGGTAACCTGTATCCACTATGTGCATCATTTTAACTATGCATAGGTGGCGTTTTATTATAAGGCGTAGTCCTGTCCCTTTGAATTAATAATCGACTATGTAGTCTATGAGAAAGTGTATTTTTACTTATAAGAGCATCTCGTATAATATAGCATCATTATTATAATACATATAACTGCTGATTCAGATGAGAACTTCAGAGGAGAAGCAGAGAGAGAGAGAGAGAGAGAGAGAGAGAGAGAGAGAGAGAGAGAGAGAGAGAGAGAGCTTGCCCGAGGAACTCGTCTAAAGGAGAACCAAGTTTCAATTCAAGATCATTTACGCCCATACTAAATGTGGCTTTATTTTCTGCGCTAAGTGAATTTGTATCTTATATGCCACGTCTCCATATCGTAATTATTTACCAAACAACGGGTGGTATTATTGCTTACTACATAGTCCTAGAACAGAGGAAGACTCACAAATACTGTTTCTGTGAGTGCCTTGAGTGCTTCCGTGCTAGTCTGCGAAAACGTGGCCTGTTGTTTTGTCTGCCTTCTCTACTTGTATCCAGCCGTTGACCCGGCAATATTGTGAACTTGATCGACGTCAATTGATGTCTATAAAAAAAAAAAGTAAGGAATAGAATAAACGTTACGTGCATGATTAAAAATTACTATTTAATTCTGTTCATTTCTGCTAGCATACGCCGAGAAACAATGTTCGTTTGCTTTTTCTATAGTGTAGGTACAAGTTATATACTATATATAACCTGTACCTACATGTAATTTTTGTATAAGTTTTAGACGATTTCCATGTATTTCCTTATAAACATACATATATATCGTTAAAACGGCCTCAGTTACATACAGTGGCCTTTGAGAAAGAATGTTTATATCAAACAGCGTATAGAGGATAGATCTAACGTACGATCGGGCGCGTTACATCTTTTAAAGTAGGGAGCACTTTTGATTTGACCGTTCATATTGGAAATATTACAGAGTTTTGGCAGATTTACTATCCTCTTTCTTCAAAAACAGACGTCCCTGTTGGCGATTAAAGCTACATTTTTCCCTGCAGTAGACGCGATTGTTTCAGTTGGAACCACGGTTGTCTCGGAGCAGTAAAATTGCAAAAGGAAGCCACGGAAGCAGACGCACTTTAACCTTTGTAAATATAGTGACGAAATTAGAATAGATAAGTTTTTATATATATATATATATATATATATATATATCCTACTTTTTGTTTGCATCGGCAAAATGATAATGTTCATATCGTTTATATAGCTGGGATTTTTTAAATGAAGGAAAATTTGTTATAAATGTTTTATCGATTCTTTATTTTAAGTAAGTGCTTTCAAGCTTACCCCTCAAGTCGAATTTTTTTATTGGATTGTGTCTGAAGCAACACTAGCTGAAGCTAAGCTTTCCGAGGCTAGTCACCACTCTTCGACTTGTAGTTCCGATAAAAGAAAAACTATGATAAAAAAATAAATAAAAATAAAAAAAATTAAAAGCCTCGAAAATAGATTTGAACGATGTCACAAATGTGGTATGTATCGTATGTATATTTCACGAGCACAATGAAATCTGGAGCCGCCTTCTAATATGCGGTCACTTGATTTCTATTGGAAATCAGGTTTCAAAACTTAATTGGTTTGTTGTACTTAAGTAAGAAGGATACGCTACGCAGGTGTCGTAGCTATAAAGTTTGGCTGGACTTAACTTACTACAAGGCGGTTGAATGCCAGACCGCATAAAACGCAATGGTTGGCTCTCTGCGCGGTGTAGGACTTGGCTGAAAAATTTTACAGAAACAACACGCCTACACGTGAACGTAAATGATACCGGGGGGACATTTTGATGTATTTCCGGTACTAAGATTCGAGTATAGCAAATAAATCATATTCAAACGATTTTAATCTTCCCACATCACAGTGCAGATGAGGCGGTGACACATTGTGTGAGCGGTACATCCTAGCAACCTATAATTAGACGATATGAACCGAAAATGCAAAATGTTTAATTAAAAAAAAAGAAATTGTTTCACCCCAAATAGACGAAATGTGGCAGCGCATACATTGTTAGGGCGCTTACGTACATACCCTTTTCGAGCCTCTAAAAAATATTATTTTTAATGTATTTATGTAGAATTGCGGTTGATTCATTCGCTCGTCTTCTTTATTTTACGATATCCCCACGCGCCACCGTGCATAACATGGTAAGTCGTTTGTATACGATAGAGATGAGTGTGTGCCAAAATACGACAGGATGAATTGATTAGCGCGTTTTTTTTCTCAGGTAGATTGTAACAGTAAAGCATCAGTTATAACAGCAGTAACTATTAGATAACGGGTACAAGCCGTTGACAGCCTGAATCTGAATAAGGATCATTCGAATGGTGCCAATGGTCTGAAAGGTGGACAGAGCAGAGCAACTCGTATTGCAGTAGAAATTTGCCGTGTCGTCAAAGAAGTAGTTTATTAAAGTGACGCAATAGAGCTAAGTTTACCGCCTCGTTAATTACAATTGATCAGATCATTTGTCTTCATGATATAATGGAAATCTAGTGATGAATATGCTCACCTAGATCGATGCACCTGTCCTCAAAAGCTCCACGTAGTCAACCTAGGAAGAACACTGAACACCTGCGTCTACGAAACGATGCGTCGTCGGATGAACGGATCGACGTTCAACATATAGTTACGTGACGAACCCAATTTTCATGTTAATTAAACTATCGAAAGTGAACGTAGTTTACAACATAATGAAACTGTCGAGGTACATGTTTTTTTTTAAATAT